TTCTACAACATGATATTCCTGTTTATTTTCAACCGATAAACACATTGAGACAAAAACTAGTACACCCCAAAGACCGGGTTCCTAACACCCAAAAATGCAATCTGATTTATTCCATCCGTTGCCAAGAAAGTGAGTGCAAGGAACATTACATTGGAGAAACCAAACAAACACTCAAGAAAAGACTTTATCAACACAAATGGAAAAACAATGATAACAAAAGTGCAGTATACGCACACTTAAAAGAAACAAACCACACAATTGAAGATGAACAAGTAAAAATCCTAGGAACAGAAAAGAGATGGTTTGAAAGGGGAGTAAAGGAAGCGATTTTTGTTAAAAAATTTTCACCCTCTCTGAACCGTGAAGGAGGTATCAGATTTAACCTGTCTCCTATTTACAATAACTTGTTGACCAGTAAGGGACATAGACATGCTGATCAGGCTAACTGAAAGTAGCTATTCAGCCTTAGCCCAAACAATAGGCCTAATCAAGACCCAATGATAGGGAGTTTAGAAACCAATGGGCCTCTTCACCATAGGGGCGTGACTAACCATCCCCACCCAGTCCTCAAACAGGCCACGCTCAGCCTTTTAGCGCAGAGCAACTTCCCGGAGTCTTCACGGAGACTTCAGGGTTGTCTACCGCTGACGAAGCTTCTGTGAGAGAAGCGAAACGTCCTTTTTTGTTTTTTGTTTTTTACCCACAGGTACAGATGACGACTGACAGAACCCTTTCTACTTCCAATGTAAATCATGTACTCATGAGTTGTATAGCTTTTACAAAATACACTTTATCAAAAAGTTTAGTCCAAGCTATTGAACAATGGAAAATAACAATATGAATGAAAATGAACTCTTGTACTACATAACTTAATTGTCTTTGGCTGCAATTTCCTGAGAGGGCCCTACAAAGCTTTCCGTGTGTAATTGGGGCTGCTGACAAATGTTTAGTTTCCTTATTACCAACAACGCAGTATAATATACCATCCCAAATAAATGATATCTCATTAAATGTGTTTCCACGTGCTGTGCAGTTGCGTCCAAAAGCTGCGAGTCATAAACTTGTCTTTATATGGTGTTTGTTTAAAAACGTCCGCGCGTATGTTTATGAGCAACTTTCTCATTAGCTGGCGTCCACATCTCGGAGGATTTATGACTTTGTAGCCGCATGTTCCAGGGAATAGTTCCTGTTATTCCCACTCACTCGTTTGCGATTCAAACTGCTTCTTTCATCAGTGACCATTTGATTTTTTTTATTTATTTTTTTCTCTCCGTCCTACTCCTTCACGTTTTCCCATTTCGGCGTCTGACTTCCTTTTAGTCCAAGTGCTTGAAAATGAGCATTCTCAAAGCAAGTGCAACACTTGAGTTATTAACTTTGATTATCGGGAACATGTTGCTTCATATCCGAAGGGACAAAAGAAAGAAATTGTTTCCGTGCTTCAGCGATAACGTTTTTTAACTCGTTGAATCAAATTTGCCCCGAAAGGACCCATAAGAATGTACTTGCGACAGTATCCTGTTACACGTTGCGTTTTTCGTCATACACTTGCCTTTTTAGTAGGACAACAGCACTTTGTAATACATTCCTTGAAAGAATGGAACAATTTGTGCTACTCTTCTGTTGTGTTCACCTTGGCCACCAGGGGGCATTATAGTAACTTTGTCCGGCACAACGGTCAGTGGACAGCTATTCTCCTACATGAACGAGCCCCTCAAAAAAATCCGGGTGTAGCTTTTGTTTGTTCATGACTGAAATTGCTGCTTACTGGTACCAATAAGAGATTTTTCACCTTTTAATATACCTTTTCGACAATGCCTCGGCGCTCCGTACAAAAAGAGGCACGCAGAAATGTACAGCGGCTTCGATTCGGTGGGCTAAAATTTCTCACCGAGGAGATAATGACGTCAAGGCTTGAATTGCGGCAAGCAGATGGCGACCGCGCCTTCCTCACAGCTCTCTTGACCTCCACCAAGTGCACGGGCAGGTGAACGGTTCAGAGGTGAGACCGCTGCGCCGTAGCACCTGTTCGGATTCACCCGAGTAATTCCGTTTGGATGCATGTTGGTGCGATGCGACGTCAAGAAGAGACGAAGGAAGGATAAAAAAAAAAAAAAAAAAGAGTTGTGGTGAAAGCCTGGTAAAACATCACCAAAGATGAAGGCAAAAAATTTGTCGGAGAATTAATGACGGCAACATAAGGCATCAGTTGGCAAGCTAGCAAACTACTCAAAGCCACCGTTGAGTGCTCGTTAACGCAAAGCATGTCTGTTGAATAATCCCCAGAAAAACACCGCGTTGACCTTTGCGAGCCGGCGGGAGGGAGGTGACCCGACGGTATTCCCCCTCCGACGGCAGATCAGAACGGCGGGGCGCGGTGTTGCCGGCGCCGCTGTCAGTGCGTCAAACAGCTGGAGTGCCCCCCCCCGTCCCCTCCTCAAACCGGCGACACGATGAAGTCGCATCTGGCGCTGTTGAAACACGGAGGCGTCATAAAAAGTCAGGCGAGATCTCTTGTGCATAGAGAGGCCATAAAAGACGAAAATTCAGCAGAGAAGCCTTGTCATAAATATATTTACATATCTATATGTTTCATAAAGTCTGAAAAGCTCAATTTCCTGCCCGCTTCCCATCCACCTGTCAGCCTTGTCTGCAAAATGTCCCGCTTTTGTCTCCTAGTTGGGATTCTCGCCCGCATGCTTCAACCGACTTCTTTTCAACCTTCTCGCGGGCTCGCCGATGACTGACAGGTGGGAGCCTCTTCTACATAAGCCGACAATGAGGTGGATGAATATGGATGCAGCCGTTCCGTCCCGGCTGTCTGCTGAAGTTCGGCTCGGCTGCCTACGCATGCTGGTAAGAACCCGTCAAGTATAGTTAACAAGTACACGAGACAAGTTGAGGGGGTGTTTATTTTGGGTGTAATGCCACTGTTGGACACTAGATGGGGACATCATTTTGTTGACCACTGTGTAAGTTGGACTGTAGAAGTAGAAGTGTCAAAGTATTTTTAAGCCGAGCTTACTTTTTGGTGAAGGTCGAGTGTCATTGTGAGATGATCAGTTAGGTTTTGGTGGGGGGGGGGGTGCTTTGTTGACCGAAGACTGTACAATATGTCTGTGTTATCATTGCTCTTACGCGGTTGGTCAAAAAGCTACAGTCTCATACATGTCTGATAAATAAAGCCATTTTAACCCTTTCAGGGACAGCGGTTACTACAGGTGAAAGCATTTTCCAGAAATCTTTCCCAGAAAGACACAATTCCATTCGCTGGTGTTAGCGTCGTTAACGTTAGCTTGCCTGCGTTTTCCTTCGTGATGCGGTCGAGCTTGTCGCCTCCGATTAAGTGATTTGTCAGATTCGGCTACTCTTGAAGATGCCACACCACAATGTAGTGCACCGTAACCACCTAAAACGCTGACGCTCCGGATGAGTATCGCTCACACCAAAATGCATCTTTTTAGCGATTTTCATCCGTGACAAGTACTCATCATTCCGTCTCGTAGGGTCGTCACGTGTTCCTCGAACGGCACCGTCGGATGCGTCTAAGCCCCTCTCCCAAAAAGCTTTCTTCAAAGTGTTGGCCGCTGTGTTGAATCAGATTACGTGAAGATGCTCGCTTGAAAAATACATTTAAAAAAAGAATTTGCTTTGATTTGGAAATGAATGAATCCTTAGAGACAGAGAGAGTGTGTGTGTGTATTTCTTTGAAGCCCTTGACGCAGAAACGGGCACGCCAAGCGGTCCAATGACGTCACTGGGCGGAGAATTGATCATTTTAATGTTTCATACCACTTTGGCCTCCCTCAAGGAGGAAGGAAAAAAAAAGGAATAAAAATGAAAACGCGTTTATGGCGGTTGCAGACGCACCGGCACTCGGTGAAAAATCTGTGATACCCGATAAAACACGCCTTTATAGTTTCACCCCTCCCGTTTGGTCTGCATGACTGTATTCTACTGCCTCCCAGTGGCCAAGACACGAACACCGGAAGGAGTAGCACAATGAATTAAATTTCAGCATTTAATTAGGCCGCACAAATTCCTTACATTGTGTTTATTTCGGTTATGACTGTTTTTACAAAGTTCAATATTTTAGATTTTTCCCTCCAGTATTTTTCCATACGTTTCCCTGGCGAAATTACTGTACAGTCAACTATAATGCAGGCAGACCAGTCTTTCGAGAAGTTTGACATGTTTTCCTCTCTGGACCTAGTTGCTAATTACGTGTGGTGTGCGTGTGTGTTTGGCAATTACATATTTAATGAGACAGTTGATTGAACGCTGGGTCAATTAGCGGCCCCGGGATGTGGGCTCAACTGTTGCTCTTTGCGCTACCCATTCACATACTGCGGTAGGGCAGCCATTATATGGACTTAACTCGCTTGTGTCACAGATGCGTCTTCATGAAAAGTCTGCAGCAAAAATCAAACCTCATCTAAAAGGCGAACTGGAGGGAAGCGGTTGGGGGCTCGGTGCTTCATCTTCCTCTTGGCGCCGTGGAAATGACCACGGTGACATCATCCTGAAATGTAAAAAGGCTTTTAAGATGTGGGGGGGTGGGGAAAAAAGGAGACAGGAGCAGAACAAAAAGAAATGTCAACTGCCTCAGAAATTGCGTGTGAATGCTCAGAGATGATGTCATTGAGACCAAAATGGCAAAGCAAAACATTGAATGGACTGCTTGAAGGCGTTCAAGTACAGTATGCCCCCTAGTGGCTTTTAAAAGCATAAAACATGACGTTTGCTCATCTGATTGGATGCTGAGGAGGGGAAATAAAGCGAATCATGTAGCATCGTAAATTGAATGAATCACATCAATGAGTTGACAATTAAAAAAAAAAAACGCTAACCAATCCAATCAGACGATGGACCGATCAATTTAAACAACCTGATTAAAATGCATTGGATAAAAATTTAAACCTTAAAAATTCTCCTCAAAATACTGATAAGCATTCAATACCATCCCAATGCACACATTGTTTTATTCCTTACATTTAATTATTTGTTTATTTGTTGGAGTTTCATCAATTGCCATTCATGTTGATGCTTCATAATTCCACTTTTGACAGCCACCATAGTTCTCGCTCGTTTGCTTGCGCAAAAGCGAGCATAACAAGTCGTTGCGAGTCAAATTAGGTTAGCTTTCCAAATGACTCAACCCCGCTTGAAAATAAATAAATGAATAAAAATCCCGAATCTCCCTCCAGAATTGGAAATCAAAAGGAACAAGCGCAAAGATCATTTGGGAATGTTTATTAAAAAGTTTTCACATTAAAAGTTGGGTGGCAGGCAGCTGCCGGTGGCGAGCGGCTGGCCGGCAGGCGTTAGCGTGAAGTAGCTGCTGTGCTGAAAGCGGAGCACCTCGTTGCCCCAGCTGGTCCAACCCGCTTGCAGGCTTCGGGCAAACAGCTCCAGGCACTCGCCGCCCACTTTCATGTACGGCTTCAACACCTCTGCGAGCAAACGTGCGTCGTTAGGGGATCCGAAAATGGCTTCAACCAATTCATTATTTGCTTCTTAATTCCTTTTTGTTTTTTTAGAAAATACTTGACAAAGTCATAGTCGTGGTTATTGCGTGGAATACCTTCCACACCCAATTGATGAAAATCAGCGATGTATAGAGACTGTGTTAGGCGGAAGAAAAAATATCATTCACATGCTAACCATTAGCATCGATATGTGTGGGTCTTTAACCAATGCATGTGTGAATACAAATGGTGAAGCAACAATGTAGAAAGATAATATCATTACCCGCCGACACATATTCTTTATCCTCTGACAAATTACAAATTTTCCAGCAAATTACTGAGTAGTAGAACTCGATTCTTCTTGGTTTGATCCTGCATGACTGTTCTACATAGCACTGCCTCCCAGTGGCCAAGTTGGGCACACCAGAAGGAGCAACTCAAATCACTTGGACTGCAGCATTAAATCACTGAATAAAAAATACAATTCTTTCCACAGCCCGATTAAGCAGCAAGCTATTGCATTTAGGCCTTGTTCCTACCGCGTAGATGATATAAATGATTTATTTTTTATTTTTTTATCATCCCAATCTGTGGAGGAAGACTCGTGCTGGAAACTTCACACCTTTGGCGTGTAAATAAATGACGCCATGCCACAGTTGCCACCCTCCCCCCCCCCTTCCCCTCATATATCATTCACAGCACAGTGCCTGGCGCTGACCTTGAGCCACACCACCTGACAATCGCACCTCCTCCGCCAGCACCCGGTGAGCGAATAGGCACAAAAAGCCAGAGGATTGCAAGTTCTACGGGCTGTATGCTTTCAAAGAAGTCCAGGGGTCTTCTTGGTTTCTGTGCAAGCTTTGACCATCTGGCACGAGGCTGCATCGTGCTTGTAACGGGGAGAGTTCCCCCCTCTATGTCCCCCGTGGCCAGCAAAGACGTCACTAACAGGAACCCCCATGTGAGAGGGGAGCGGGTGGGGGCAGAGCTCGCTTCGGGCTGGCAGTCTCCTATGACTGAAAAAGCGTGACACTCCTCCCGGAGCCTGAGCATTGCTCTGGGTATGTTGTCATAAAGCGATATGGTGCGACTACGCCCCCCGGTGGCCGCCAGCGGTGCAGGGGGTGACGTCGAGACGACTGTGAAGGGATCCATCGATCGGTCTGCCGGCCGTGCCGTGACATCACGTGTCATCATCGCTTTACCGACCCCTTTCCTTGGCCTTTGATCATAACTCACTGAGAGTTTACAAATCGATTCGCGTTAGCTCATCCGGCCCGTTAAGGAAAGGCCGCGCTATCAAGTCGCCCGACAATTAAACACCAAATAAGAACGACAAAGTCCAAGGAAAATCCAAAAATGAAATCAAACTAAATATAACACAAACGCAATCTGCATTTCAGTGCACATTCTTGTACAAGCAAAGTCTCCCGTTTTCTTTACCACCGCAACTGTTTTTCTTTTCTTTTGCTTTAGCTGGACACGTCGCACAATGAATGGCGTTCCCTCGAGAGGGAGGGAAATGACGTCAAAGCGTCTCGTCTATGAGTGTCGCCGGCGAGGTCTTCGACATATTCTGCCAGCATTTGCGTCAGAAGGTGCACAGAGGTGGGCAGGTAGGACACAAATCCATGTGGGAATCTGTCCATTTGTCACCCAACTACAGTAAAAGTCGAGATAAATTATTTCAAAAAAAAAAACGTAAAAGAAGGCTCTGTTTCTGAGGAACAGCTACAATGTTCCTGGGTCAATCTGACCCAAGAGTGTCCAAAAGTCAAACTAAATATATTTCTGACAACAACAATATTTTGAGCATTACCTTGCATCGATCATGCTGTCATTTAAAATGTATCATGTAATAATATTTTTTAAAAAACCACACACATTCAAACTTGTTTTAACGTACGTGAAATGAACCATTGTCATTGTATGTTGACAAGCACAAACAACAAAAATGGGTCAGTTTTACCCAAACCGTAAAAGGAGGATTGCACAAATGTCAAGAGTGGAGCATCACTCAAGAGAAAACAAACAAACAAAAAAACTGACGTTTTTCAAGGGTATTTTGCAGCAAACAGCAGAGAAGAAGGGAGAGCTCATTGATGCTGCTGCAGTGCCCTCTTGTGGCCGCATTTTCAAACAACAAGCAGGCCTCGTGTTGTGCTTGCGGGTTCCACTGACCCTTATTAGGATCCACATTCCCTTGCTGGACTTATTTTCTATGTACTATGTGTTTGAGTTGTTATTTTGTTTAACTCAAATGCTAAATTGTTTCCCCACATCAAAAGACAAAAATGTAGATGAGTGTTTCATCTCCCTTCTATTACCTGCGAGGGACGGTTTGTGGGAGTGGAGAGCCGAGGGGATGCTGACAATCAGCCGCTGATCTTGCACGGTGGGAGTGCCAGCGCCGGCGCACCGCTCTGAGGGGCTGAATTGAAATTGTCAACTTGATGTTTTAGTTTCATTCTTATTTCAGGGCCCCGAAAGGAAAAAAAGTCACCTCAACCGGGAATGGCCGCGATATCGCCCCAGGATCAGCACCTCGTACGGCTTTTTGTGCGGCGAATCCAGCGGGAACACAAACTCGCCATCTGCAGTCACCTGCATGAGGAAAAAAAAATCATTTGAGGCTCCTAAAACGCAACATCAGGCATCAAAATCATGCGCAAACAGCCAATTTCAGAATGTCATTGAAGTGGATGTCAGTGCGCCCCCCAGTGGACGCATTTTGCAACAGTTACTTTTCTTGAAGATTTCCAGTCAACACCACTTCAAGCACACTGACTTGACATTGTGCGTGTTTCCCCGCCTACCTTCACCCAGAACCACTGGGCCATGGGCTCCACCCCCCAGTGCGGGTACAGCTCATGACGGACGAAGCGCAGGTGGCTGGGCCGGTTGGTCACCCAGGTGACCACCAGACTGTCCGGGGATGCCAAACGGGGGATGTCAAGTCTTTTCAGCTGAGATGAAGGTAGACAAGTGTATCTTCCAGGACACAAAATGGAAGAAACGGCCAATCAAGATCCAAGGCAAGTATTGGCTGTCTGTACAGACATGACTACAGGGGTATCTCGATTTATGAGTCACCCCAATTTTCTTTTTTTTTTCACATCTAAAAATTACCTCTGACTCCTCTTTACAGATTTGTTTTCCCACGGCGGATCCACAACGATGACGTCAAACTTGTGTCCATCTGTGTGGTGGAAAAAAAGCACGATTGAACAACTTCATGTTTTGAGTTGTTTTTCTATTTTTGGTGGGGGGGGGGACTCTCACATCGGAGGAGCGGCTCCATTCTGGAAAAATCCGAGAGCAGGAAGGCCGTGCGTGGAGGGATGACGTAGTCCTCTCCCATCAGCATTGTCACTGCCGCGTGTTCTGCCGGGTTCTCCGTCACGCGGGAGAACAAGTCCAGATGGGATGTGCCATCACTGGCGTCAAGCGACTGCACACACCTCTCCTGGTCCTCATCGTCCACCAGAGGGAGCTCTTTGGCCATGTCGCACAAGCTGGCCAGGTTGCACTGGGCGCAGCTTTCGGTGTCCTTCACACTATCACTTCGTCCATGCAGGTAGCCCAAAAGTGTAGCTGACTCCACCAGGGACTTGGTTCCCTCTAGAATGACACATCGCATCTGTGTGGACAAAAAGCCGTTTTGAAGGACTTTCTCCTTCTCACAATGAAGACTCATGTTATACAGGATGAAAAACAGCTCTTCCAGGTGAACTTAATTTGACCTGTAAACTTAAACATTCAAATGTGCAACTGTTCAATGTTTTACTGCTACTTTTGCCGTTCATGGATCAGGCACTAACAGGCAAAATTCACAACAAGCGTTTGAACCACAAATCATCCAATACATTTCCAAAGACCCCCATGTGTGCCTTTCTGTGATGCCTCCAGTATCTTTGCCTTGACTTACCTTCTCATGAAAGGCCTTGGAATCGATCTCTCCCTGGTTGAGCTCACTGCGCTTTCGCTTCTGAAACAAACACTGAAACTCAATGAACATTGACCGCTGCACTCTTTGTAATACTGTAGTAACGTCTCCACTTTTTTAAGCCAATGTTTTGATCAGGGAGTGATTTCTGCCACTTTACGTTTGCTAATGTGAATTTTGCAATGTTTAAATGTGCCCCTATATGTCAACATGAGGTAAACAGGTTTATTTAGTTACCTTTGGAGGTCTCTCTTGACTCTGCAAGACGTCCTGCTTTACTGCTTGTACATTGTGATTACTAATTTTATTATTCTTCCCATCGCCATAACTCTTTAGAATCCGGAAGTACTGCCTTTTAAAGCGTGCCACGAATTCTGACTTGAGCTCGTCTTGCAGTCGAAAACAGCGCACATAATCTTGGTCTATGAGCGAGCAGGCGTCCAACAGCCACCCGTGTGTGTTCTCCACTACCACCGACATTGTTCAGCTACTCGGCTTTAATTGGGGAAAAAGGGCAAACGTGGTCTTACGTTTGCGGATTTTTTACTGTGGTTACCGTCGGCTCATGCCGAATGCCGCCATTACCCCTATACACAACATTGGGATGGTGCATTCTAGGACACCCGGAAATTTGAAATTTCACACCGATTCGGAAATATAAATGGTAATGGTAGTTGCCATCCTAAAAGAACCCCGTTTTTAGTGGTTCTGTGCCTCAATTGCTAAACAGCCTCCGTATAGTGGTTGTGAATCTTTTTTTTTAATTACGCTCCAATAATGAAAAGTCCTGACTTAAGGGTTTTCCAATTTTATAATGCAGCGTTGGAAGCGTTGGCTTTTATTTTCGTTCTGTGAAACCGGAAGTGCAGTACGCGGCGATGCACTCGAGTTTGATTTTCTACCAGAAGTTCAAAGCAGATTCAAACCGTGGACCGCATTCCAAGGTTGCAGGAAAAAGTTCACATGTTAAAATATCTCACACTACTTAATTAATAAACTGTACAGGAATAGAAAATTGGACGTTTACGAGTTTCACGTGTTGTTTCTTAAATAAAAGGTCCTTCGAGCTCTTTTTTTTCTTTGGAGCGTGTACGCTATCTTGCGTTAAACTCAACGGCCCGCTTTCCATAGTATATAAAGATTTTTGCTCACTATTTGGTGACTTTAAGCACAAGTAGTCACGGTAAATGTTTGCTGACATTGGCGAGCAAGAACGACTTGGAGTCGGGCAACTCATTGACAAGGCATATTAGCGGTTTAACTCTTCGTCTTTTTTTCCATACAGCTCCGGTTCAAGTGTACTTATTGATGCTATACACTGGATGACTGGAGAGTGACGTCATGAAAAAGGCGCACGGGGGGTGTCAGTCATTCATTGCTGATTTTGAAAGGGGTGGCGGTGTACACCCTAAACGTCACAATATTGAAAGAGTTTGGAGTGGAGTTGGGTCAGACCCTCTCTACATCGCCTTCACAGCTCACCGGAGCGTCGGACACTTGTTCCAAATCGATTTGGTTTCCAAGCCACCATGAAGAAGTCTTCCATCCACCTCCTGCCGCTCGTCGTCCTGTTAACAAGCGCCCAAGTCTCACAAGGAACCCCCTTCCTGCATGGAGGCGGGCACTCGGCCGCTGAAATGCGCCAAAGAAACAAGTAAGTATCCTTTTTACTGCTTTTGCCATATGCCGCGTAAAAGGCGAACTTCCATCGTGACTAATGGAGCGTTTGCCGCTGCAGAAACTGGTGCGCGCACGTTGTGCACAAGAACGTCAGCTGCGCCGTCCTGGCGGGCTCGGAAAGCTTTGCGCAACCGGAGCTTCTGGCTTGTCCCCCGGAGATGATCAACTGTGCACCGCAAGTCATGTGAGTGTCAAACGTGATGATTTATGTTCGGTGGTGGTCACGTTGATGGATGGGCATGAGGGCTGCATCAGGGCCCTCAGGCAGGACGTTGTGGTCGTGGTGGGTGATGATAATGCTCACGTTTGGTCCACGGGTGGAGTGGAGCTGTGTTTCCCAGCCTTTACTGATTTATGGCACATATTTTGAGCATTTAATTGTTCTGCGTGCTGAAATACGTGGCTCGCTCGCATAGATGGACGACAAAGACCAATTCAGTAATTTTTGGGTAGCACACCTGTTAATCTCTGGAGTGACCAGGATATTTTTGAACTCGGAATGTCAATCAAAACTGGGTAATATTATTATTTTGAAGGCAAAATGAGTGTTGTCCACCCATATTAGACAGCAGGATAGGAAAAAAATGCTTCGCGAGTTAACTTTGCCGATGTGTTAAGTACACATTCTTCCTTAGATACCGCACGCACTTCAGGCCCACATACAAGCTGGACTACAAGACGGTGACGGAGCTGCAGTGGAGGTGCTGCCCGGGCTACCAGGGCCACGACTGCATGGACGTGAAAAGCGTCTCCAAGCTACCAGAGCGAAAACTAGAGAATCTGGCAGCGTTTGCCGCTGCAGAAACTGGTGCGCGCACGTTGTGCACAAGAACGTCAGCTGCGCCGTCCTGGCGGGCTCGGAAAGCTTTGCGCAACCGGAGCTTCTGGCTTGTCCCCCGGAGATGATCAACTGTGCACCGCAAGTCATGTGAGTGTCAAACGTGATGATTTATGTTCGGTGGTGGTCACGTTGATGGATGGGCATGAGGGCTGCATCAGGGCCCTCAGGCAGGACGTTATGGACGTGGTGGGTGATGATAATGCTCACGTTTGGTCCACGGGT